ATCAGCTATCAGATTATCAGATTTGAATGGCTTTGCCTTGTACATCGAGATTACTCTGTACATGAGTAAGGCTATTCATTGGGAACTCTTTATTGTGTGATTTTTCAGTATTTATTCAGTTCTCAGATTTCAAATTATGGAAGTCAGATAATTCAGTTTTTAGAATAAAGCTTTCAGCTTATACTATTGAGCAGCAGCAATATTTCATAAATTTTCATGAATATCAAATTCTTTATATTTGTTATATCTCACAGATATTTATCTAGAATTTAGAATAAAGAATTTTATAATGTAATCATGCTTAGTTTTTAAAAGTATTACTAGATTCAGAAATTCTCAAGGATTTAATAAAGTTAAAATTTTTAGAAAATATGCATAAATAGAAAAAGTTTACTTATTTGCAAATCATCCACTCACTGAGTTACAAACTCATATTTTTGTCATGTTTTTCCTATCAGGAGACCGTTGATTTTTGAGATACTGGGAAAAGCCTGCTGAAGCCAAAGAGACAGTTTCGTAGTATGTAATGTATAGTTGGGGAACTCATGTTTATTAAGTACTTGTCTAATATTTGGTGTGTCATGCACTTCGTAGAAAGGTTGGTAATTGATGTGATGCTTGCATGTTGACATGCTGATGTTGTAGAAGCACTCAGTCGAATTTTTTTATATTTTGTAGTAGTTGTTGTGGTATTAGAGGAAGTGGTGGTTTCCATTAAATGTCTATTTGAGATTTTGATGATTTTTCAAGTTGGTTTTGTCCATGTTACAGGGGAAACTCCGTCAAAATTTTTATAGAATTATGTCATGGTCAAGTAGGTCACGTTTGCCTTGGTGGTGGGTCTGGCATTTAGCTGGCATCTACAATCGGCGCACGACACGTGCCGAGTCAATTAGGTTAAATCGGTACGGGTCGTGTCATTTGATATCAGAGCATGGTCTTAGAGTTTATGAGTAACATTGCATGTATATGATGTTTGTATGTCACACATTATTGTAGGTAAGTCATGCGTGGTAGAGGCAGAACTCGTAGGCACCAAAATCCAGTATCTCAAGCTCCAAATACTCCTGAAGAAAGACATGTTGGAGGCGTCAGTGGGGCTGATGAATCAGTGTACCAGTCTCAGGTGCAACCTGACCCCATCACTGATAGAATAGCGGCAACTATTGCTTCCCTTCTACCAAATACTGATAGAGATAATTCTATAGAGAGAGCAATGAAACTTGGAGCAAAATTTTTTATGGGGACATCTAATCCAGCTGATGCCGAACTTTGGATGAAGACTTTGGAAAGCATATTTGATGTGATAGAATGCTTCGAGGATAAAAAATTATGCATTTTTGTATTTTTATTGAAAGGGGGAGCTGCTGATTGGTGGATTTCGTTTCGAAGCCGGTATCCAGATCCTAGTGTTATCACCTGGACTATTTTTAAGGAAGCTTTCTTTGAGACATATTATCCACCATTTTATCGTGATGCTAAACAAAACGAATTTTTAAGATTGGTTCAGGGGTCTATGTCAGTTGCTGGATATCATGTATAGTTTGTTGAACTGTCTAAGTATGCGAGTGCTTTGGTTGCTGAGGAGAGAGATAGGTGTAGAGGGTTCGAGCAAGGGTTGAGAGCTGAAATTCGGCCTATGGTTACTGCTCATGGGCATCAAAATTTTGGTTTGTTGGTTGAGGCGGCATTAAGGGTTGAGACAGCTATTCGTGAAGGAAATAATCAAGGAGCACACGTGACCTTTCGAGGTGGCAGCAGTCAATCAGGAGCTTCAGGAGAAAGGTTCAAGAAGAGCAGAAAAGGATTTTGTCCAGGTGCCACTAAATCTGGCAATTTTAAATCTAAGTCTGGGAGATCTAGCTCTAGTCAGGGATCAAGACATAGCCAGAGTTTTGGACAGCAGTCAGTGGGGAGCCATTCTTTTGTGCAGAGTCCTTCACAGAGAATTCAAGGAGCGAGGCAGAGTGAAGCTTCTGATCATAGGAGCTTTCCACAGTGTCAGTCTTGTGAGAAGTTTCATCCAGGTGAGTGTCTTCGAGGGGTTGGAGTTTGTTATCAGTGTGGTCAGATGGGACACATAAGGAAGGATTGTCCAGCCAGATCTCAGCAGATTGGAGCATCTCAGATAGTATCTCCTCAGCCAGGGATCGGTATGACCAGACAGAACAGGGATGAAAGAGCTCCATCAGCAAGGTCGATGGGGGCCACACAATCTAATTCTGCTAAGGGTAGTGCTTCTAGACAGGGAGCCCAGGCAGGTCGGTCCAGGACTCAGGGCAAGGTGTTTGCTATGACACAGCAGGAGGCAGAGGAGTCACCAGATATGGTAGTGGGTATGTTATCTATTTTTGGTAGAAATGCTCGTTCTTTAATTGATTCGGGTGCTACGCATTCCTTTATTTCTCAC